TCGCTCACCCTGCAGCCCAGATCTGTCACTCGGCGGCACCTATTTTCAAATATAAAAAAATGAAGGATATACTCACAGGTGATGAATTCACGGATTCAGTTTCGGCGTATTTTTTTCATTGCACACCTTCTCTAACCTCCACCATACCGCGAACGAAAAAAGCTCTTCATGCCGGCTTATCATAGGCAGGATTCTTTTTTAAGAGCTGAAATGATATACATTTGTAGGAAAAAGTGCGATAAAACGGTGGAAATGCGGTACTAATAATAGGACTCACTCAATTCACTGATGCACGATCTAAAAATATGGATTCTGTCTGTTGAACCTAGTTTACTTGGCATCGGCATCATTGACTTTTTGTTATGCTGATAAAAAAGTATCCACTTGTTTTTTTTTTTTTTTGTAATTTTGTTTGATCTTTCATTGTTATAATGTTTAGATTGCACTCATAGTTTAGAATTCCTAGTCGAGTTTAGGATTCGATCCAACAATGTCAGCCTTGAAAGTCAAGCAGTAAATATGCAATTGAAGGGTAAAGTCCTCTTTCGGCGATTAACACATCACTACCTTCCTACCATAAAGTGCACGTGCCTGGTCGATGATAAGATCCTTTAACTCTGCAATAGGAATTGGGAAGAAAAGAAGGGTCTTGGAACTCTACACGAGATATACATAAACATTGATGAAAAATTCTGTGAATTAACGCGCTGGCCAAGTCATTTTGTCAGAAGAAATAAGAGTACTCCAGCTTTGACAGATCAGAGAACGATCTGGCTTAACGTCCAGTTGGCGGTGGAAAAAAGAAACGAATCACGTGTTGTTCTCAACTCGGATAGAATTGTTTAAGCGGTCCCAACGTAATAAAAAAAAAATAATGCTCAGACATTGTGAATCCCACACAGGAGCACTTCTCTTTATAAACTTTCGAATATCGAAATTAGACCCTCTTCATACATTTCTGAGGCTTTTTCTTCGTTTTGTCGACTGTTAGTGTAGTTATTTATGCTGCGGTTACGTTCGTATTTTTGTATTCTGATCTCTAAACAATAGAATAAAAAATGCCTATCCGCTGACGGCAAAAATGCTCAATTATTTACTTCTATGTGGATGCTTACGCTTTACTCCGGCTTACAGCATTTATTTAATGGCATTTGTCGTTGTAGCGATTTTTTTTTGTCCTCCAACAATTCGCATCGTAAACAGGTTTTTCAAACAACAATATTGTTCTCTTATATATCTTTGAACAACTTCCTCGTTTCCTACGCTTGGTCGGTCGGTGTTGTGGTCAAGTGTGGTGTTCAGCACTGTTTAAAGCACAAAGTTTGTATCTTCAAGCCACGAAGATTTGCTTTACAGCACCACAAAGAGTATTCTTGCAACTCTGTCTTCAGTATTTCACTTATTCCACTTCATAAGCGAACGAACCGAACAGGTGAGCAGCAAGCCAGGTCAGCCCCCGCTCGGTTTTCTTTAATTCGGCTTAAGGCGCTGCTAAGAAATTTCAAACGCGTCTTATAAATCCGCACTTGAGTAAGCTGAAATATTTGTAAAAACCAGTTTTGTACTTTTCGTCATTATTTTTTATGCCAACACTTTTGCTGTGTTGCTGCTGTCTGCTGGGGGCTGCTTAGCATGTTTGACCGCTAGTTAGGAGCTGTAATGACTTCAATATACACAAAACGCGTTGCACATGAATAGTTTCTATTGCTGGCACCGCTTGCTGTTTGCATCATTAATTTTTGTGTATACAAAGACCGGTTCGGTCATCATAACCACCTGCCTTAGACGATAGTCTTTTTTCACTGCACTCGTTTTTTTGGTTTGTTTTCTGTTGAGCCAAAAGGTTAGAAATATTTATTGTATTGAATTTTTGATAACTAAGATATTCAAGTTTGTTAATGAAAACTGTGGAAATTATTATTCCAATGATTTAAAGCATTAGTCGCTTTTAGAATTCGAAAAAATCGTTTTTCAGCAATTTTTTTTTTTTTTTTTTGAAAGGGAAGGGAATTATTGCGTAAAAAGAAATTTTCAAACAATAATGTACTAGATTTAAGCATCAAAAAAACAATTTTTGGTATCAAAATGTATTGGATTGATTTTTCCTATGTTGTGATGAGTTTTCTGGAGCAGCTGCAGTCTGAACTCGTGAAACGGTGTCGGAGATGGAAGTCGTGCGATGCATCTGAAACAGTTGAATCAATTTTTTTTTAATTTAATTTTTTTTTTTTTTAATTTTTATGAGTGTCTCTTCTGTAGGAATTACAAAAAAATACTGTAGAAGTTGAACAATTCCAAAAATTTTCGAAGTTTGAAAAAAAAATGCACTTCAAGTTGCAAAAAAAATTGTTTGAAAAATTCTTTTGTCCAACTTTTTTTTGTTCAAATAGAAAATAATTTAATACTGAAGCTGAAGATCACTTTGATTTTTTTCGATCGTACATACATATATTAGTTTTGCTATTACCGCTAATTCTACAATATATTGATTGAATTGGCAACGGAAATTTGGAAGATTATTCTTGGATACCTTTAGAATTAACTTAAAAAAAGAAATGCATTTTCTAAAGTCTCTAAGGAGCTGCCTTAATATAAGACTAAGTTTTGTATAATAAAAATGCACACCTATTAATCGAAATATGGATACTCACAGCGGCAGTATGCTCTTAGAGTATGAAACCAACTGTCTCTGGCATTAGAGTGCCTATGGGTTGTAATGGTTGGAGAACAGGAAAGGAAAATTAGAATGCTAGATACGGTTTAAATTGGATCCAATTCATGTTTATTCTTCTATGTACCTCGGAGGATTTTAACATTATATTGGAAACGAAAAGGAAATGTCATAACAAAATTATTTGAAAATTAAAGAGAATCGCATATAAAGGTTTTTCATCTGACATTGGTGGAAATTTGAAATTTACGTCTATGTTTCTCTCTAGTAAAATCATATACTATGGAATTTAAATTTTTAAGAAAAGGACAATGATTGTTAGGTCCATGTACAGTTATTACCTTCATGCCTTAAAGATAGTAAGCGTTATCTCCTATTTAAACTTGTAACTCAATTCAAAGCACAAAACATGAACAAAATTTTATACGTTATATTTCAAATAAACGGGGGTATAATGAAATCCCAGGTAATGCCAAGAGTTCCGAGTGTATTTCTGAGATGCAATAAAAGCTTCTCATAAAAAACCTTCAGCCGATCGCAGGCGGTTCAGTATAAACTGTAGGTCCCTCCATTTGTTTTAAAAAAATATTAAGACGCATAGCCAAAAACTGTAGCTGGAGCTCAGCCGAAAATCACTTTGACAGTTACAAAGCGCCAATTATATATATATATATAATAAAATCCCGACACACAAAATCTTGAGATAAATAATCCCAAAGACATTATCTTGAGAAAAAATTCAAAAATCGTATACAAAGTATTTAAAAAGCGGGCGAGATTCCTTAACCTGATTGATCTCAAAACTTTTGTATAAAATTTTCTAAAAGAACAGATTTCTATATGAAAAATGTTTACTTAGTCCTTTTGGGAATACGTCTTGTCTAATTATCGCGTTTTATCTGTATTCTGTCTAGCAGCAATTCATTTTTAAACAGATTTTGTTGGTCTTGTGTCAAATTGGGATAAGCGCGAGTAATCGGATTTTTCAAAAATCATCCCTATAATTTTTTTTAGTTTATATTATTTCTTTTAATTTTTTTTATTAATTATTTTTTTTTTTTTGTAAATTTGCTTTAGTTTTTATTTTATTTGATTTTGATTTTTATTTTAATTTTTTTTTAATTTTTATTAATGTTAATTTGATTTTTTTAATTCTAATTTTCATTAATTTTATTTTGATTCCTTTTAATTTTAATTTTTTTGATTTTATTTTTTTTAATTTTAATTTTTTTTTTTAATTTTAATGTTTTTAATTTTATTTATATTTTTTTTTAATTGTTATTAATTTTTTTATTGTCATTAATTATTTTTAATTGTTATTAATTTTTTTTTTCAATTTTTATTATGTTTTTTTTTTTTGACTTTTTATAATATTTTTATTATTTTATTTTTTTTATTTTAATTTTAATTTTTATTAATGTTATTGTGATTTTTTTAATTCTTATTTCCATTAATTTTGTTTTAATTTTTTTAATTTTAATTTTAATTTTATTTAATTTAAATTTTAATTAATATAAAAATATATATTATATTAATTTTTTTTAATTGTTATTAATTTTTTTTATTGTCATTAATTATTTTTAATTGTTATTAATTTTTTTTAATTTTTATTAACTTTTTTTTTTACTTTTTATTATTTTTTCTATTATTTTAATTTTTTTATTTTAATTTTAATATTTATTAATGTTATTGTGATTTTTTTTTTAATTCTAATTTTCATTAATTTTATTTTGATTTTTTTTTAATTTTTTTTTAAATTTTTTATTTATATTTATATTTCGTTATTAATTATTTTTAATTGTTATTAATTTTTTTATATATATTAATATTTTTAATATTTATTAATTTTTTTAATTGTCATTAATTTTTTAATAATTATTAATTTTTTTTAATTGTTATTGTTTTTTTTTTAATTTTTATTAATTTTTTTTATTTTTATTAATATTTTGTTAAGTTTTATTTTTTATTTTTTATGTTTGTTTTATCTTAAAGATCAGATTTGGGATTTAAAATCATCACTCAAACAAAGAAAATCAAAAAGTTTTTTTCTTTAAATGGGTATATAAATATAATATAAGTAGTTCTTAAGCCTTCAATACTTTACCTAGTAACTGTAGGGCGGGACTCTCCTGTGACATGAAATTCGTCGTTCTACCATCGTCAAGCATCGTCTCAATAATTCCAACAGAAAAAATTTGCTCGTTTCGAATACTATCTTTTATTAATTTACGTATGTCCTGGCTGTTAACCCTCATTCACATTTTCTTACTGCTAATTATTTAAATATTATAAAAATCTATAAATTTGTTAAACATTTCACTTAACAATTTTTCCTCCATCTCTTTCTTTTCAGGTGTTTTGTGTTGTCGCGCGCGTTTTCATCGCGTCTTCGGTTCGCGTCTTCCACTATTCGATCGTTATGTCGCATAGCGTACCGTAGACTCGTGCAATAAAATTACCTTTATTGATCATGCAGCAGTTTTCGAATCTATTCTTAGGTATGTATCTTCCCCCACATATAGCTGCGCAATTTTATGAATGCGAATGTGAAGAAAAAATAATAATAATAAATTAAATGTAATTTTTTGTTTCATGTTGCTTTTTTCTCTATGTTATTGTTGCTTCATTTTAAAGTTTTTAATACATATTTACATATATATATATATATATATATATATATATATATATATTATATATATTTCTACGTATGAATCGCAAGGCTCAATTTTTGTTCACATGTTAAACATAACTTTTTTTGTTAGCTTTATGACTGTGATTGATCTTTAATTTTCTTTTTAACATTTTCTCATTCCAAATGTATCCGATTTGTGTATGCGCACGAGATTTTTTTGATTGAATTTTTAACGATGATGATGATGACGCTCTTATAGCCATTTGTAAGTGAATGTGTTGCGCGCTGAAACTGGTTGAGCGGTCGATAATGTTCACTGACCTTTATTGTTATTTTATATAGCTTATTTTATAAGGCTGTTTACATATATACGGGCATATACATATGTATTTTTGCCATCCGCTCTCACTCTCTAATCAATTAAGCAAACATGATTTTTAAGGTTAGTTACCTCTCACTGCTGTAAATTGATTTTTATTTAATTTTCGGCGTGTGTTGTGTTGTTTTTGTATCTTCTATTTGGAAGCTTAAAACATGTGATTTGATTTTAACTTAATTGCTATTTTTTCATTTTTGTTTTTAATTGCTTTTAATTATTAATTTAAATTCATTACTTCGTTTGTGGATCCTTTTCAAGCGGGTTGGTCAAACGAAAAGCGGAAATTGCATTGCTATAATAAATTTGGAAAATCAAAAATAAATTTTAAATGAACTTGGAAATAAGATAGCTTATTAAGCAATTCAAAGCAAAAATACCACTTTTTCGAATAGATCGTTGTCAGGTCCATTTACCGGCAGGAAAACAAATTATAGTTCATTCTTTCTAACAATAAAACTCTGGTTTCTTCTTGATAAATTTAGCGGTTTGTTTTTAAAACTAACATATAAGTTGTGCTGGACAATAAAGTGGTTGTGCTTTGGTGAAAACTGACTTCGAGAAAATCTCACCAAATACGCTTAATTAAAATATTACATCAAAATTTAATGGGTCAGTGCAGAACAGCTCCAAAACGAAGGAAATACCTACAAATTCATTACCGCAATGATCTGAAAATTTCCTTACAAACGCGCTCAATATAGGACAAATACATAAAAGGACATAACGAAGGACTGATAATCGAGAAAATAGAATTGAAACATCAACTAAACACAAGACCCATTCAAACCTTTTGGGGCATTTGCAAGCGAAACCGGAGGTGTTGCATCTCACAAACTGTTCGCCGACGCTTATTAAGCGTAATTTTGCCTGGCAGAATAGCTAGCAAAGTTCTCATGTTTAAAACAAGAAGTTTTAGGAAGAGAAAGAACTTTGCAACATTTCAAAAAATTCCAAATTGTCTGGAGCGTTTGGTAACGATGCTAAATGGAAGGTTATTCAGACGTATGGAGATTGTAGTTTAAGGGTATGGGGCTGTTTTTCTTGTGAAGGTGTAGGTGTAGGTCCGATACATCAGATTGATTGGATCATGAATAGATTCGTCTACAATTATTTGTAGGAAATTTTAATGCTACCATATGTCGAGTAAAAAACGCAGTATTGTAAATTTCAGCAGCACAACGATCCTAAGCGTCATCGTATATACCAGGCTAATTCGATCTCCAGATCCTAATACTATCACGAACCTCTAGGCACAACTTAAAAGGGTAATTTCGTAGATCCAATGCAAGCTATAGGGAAATATTCAGTAAGTTTGGTATAACATTCCCGTTGAAACCTATCGAAATCGAGAAAGTCATAAGGAATAATGACGGATATTCTGTGTAATAACCAGTTTCTAATTGATTTAGCAAATTGCTGGCCAAACCCTACGAAATTGCAATATTAATAACTATTTTTCTTGGGCACATCTATTATTCTGGCCAACGGAAATATTTGAATTTTACGAATTAATCAAAAATTAGGTTTTTTCTGAAGGTTTATAAGTAAATTTCATTTCTTTTCATAGTTCTAAAATATGTTTACGTTAAAAAGCAATCCAGCGGTCAACAAAAGTATTCGTCATCAACTTAATCCCTGGAAAATGTTATAGTGATAGCAACTTCACGAAGCAAATAAAAATTTTTAAACAAATAATGCAATCTTCTACTTAAGAAGGCATATTTTTTTCTGTTTTCTGTTGCTTGTTTGAAAAGTTGGGTTTTCTTAGCTTGGACTCCAAATGACCACAATGATGTTTTATTGGGTTTAAGTCTGGGCCTTGGGGAGGTGCTTTTATAACTTTTGGGCATTTGTATAGCAACCATAGCTTAGTGTTATGCGCAGAATGCTTGGGATCGTTATTCTAATAGTACTGAAAATCATTACTGATGCTCAGTTTTTCTGCACTGAGCCTCAAATTTCTCTTGTAATAGTATTTGTGATTCATTATTCCACACCAGATGACGCCATACATACCCAAATCATAAACCACCACCAGCATATTTAACGGTAAGAACTTTATTGCGTTCTTCTAGCTCCGTATTTTGCTTTCTATACACAATAATTATCCTGCCAACAGACCCCAAAAGGTTAAATTTTCTCTCGCCCGCTAATAATACATTCGGCCAAAACGATTGTGGTTCTTTTACATAAACTAAACTTTTTACTTTTGCAAAATTTAGTTATTATAACATTTTCTAAGAATTTAGTTGATGACGAATACTATTTTCTGACCTCTGTATATTCTTTCAACAATTCGAAAATAAATGAAAGCCAATTGTGTATCTAAACACATTTTTTTATTGTCTAAATTAAGGCAAATTCCCACACGGTAGTCGCAAGAATACAAAAACAAAAAACCTATATATTGGATGAGTGCATAAGTTCGTGCCCGATTCCGCTGGATGCCGTTCGAATCGTTTGAGAGTGGCGCACGTGAAAGAAATATATACATATTATATATCGTTGGAAAGGTGACAGTCCGAACTGTAAATCAAGCATAAAATAACTTCATTTTGATTTGAGTTGCTTAGTGAAAAGACGCATGGAAGATGGACAACGAAAAAGATCATATGCGTCATATTATGTTATACGAATTCCGCAAAGGAAAAACAGTAGGCGCTGCAACTAAAGATATTCGCGAAGTTTATTTGGACCGTGCTCCAGCACTCCGCACAGTAAAGAAATGGTTCGCGAAATTTCGTTCTGGAGATTTTAACCTCGAAGATCAACCTCGCAGTGGACGGCCTTCTGAGCTTGATGACGATGTTCTAAGGACTTTAGTTGCGAATAACTCACGTATTTCGACGGAAGAGGTTGCCAGTGAATTGAACGTCAACAAATCAACTGCGTTTCGTCGTTTAAAAAAGGTTGGGTACACTTTGAAGCTCGATACATGGGTGCCACATCAGTTGAGTGAAAAAAACAAAGTGGACCGTATGTCAACAGCAATTTCTTTGCTTCGACGGATCAAAAACGAACCTTTTTTGGATCGGCTCGTGACTGGTGATGAAAAATGGATCCTGTACAACAATGTTCAACGCAAAAGAACATGGAAACAGGCACACGAAGGGGCGGAACCGATGTCGAAAGGTGGATTGCATCCGATGAAGGTACTGCTGTGCATTTGGTGGGATATCCGAGGCGTGATCTATTTTGAGCTCTTGCCAGCTGGAGAAACGATCACTGCCAACAAGTATTGTCAGCAATTGGTCGAATTGAAGAAAGCAATTGATGAAAAACGTCCGATTTTGGCCAATCGCAAAGGAGTTCTTTTCCATCATGACAACGCCAGGCCACATGTTGCAAAACCGACCCTGGCCAAACTGAAGGAGATGAATTGGGAAATCATGCCGCATCCCCCATATTCACCCGACATTGCACCTTCTGATTATCATTTGTTTCGATCGCTGCAGAACAATTTGAATGGAAAAAAATTTAAAAATGTGGAAGACGTCAAAAACCACCTTGACACCTTTTTCAACGAGAAACCGCGCGATTTCTATGAATCAAGCATCCGTAAATTGGCTGAACGTTGGGAGTGGATTACCGAACATGATGGCGAATACATAATTGTAATAATTGAATGAAAGGAAGAACAAGCAATCATATGATCTGACAACTTCACCTTCTTTAAATTCGCTTTGTTCTAAATTTTTTTTTTTTTTTGGAAGATTTACGATTTCTCTTGAGTTGGAACAAGTCTAGGAAGAATGAGAAATTTGTTCAAATTCGGTCAAGTAGTTTCGAAGTTAATAGCTTACATTCCTCAGAACACTCCCTCCAAGTTTGAGGTCACTACTATCAGCCGGCTTAGGCCGTGCGTAGATCCGTCCATAAGTCGTGTAGCCCGAAGAATTTTAAATGCATTGATGATTATTTCAATAAAATATCGTGGGAGCACCTGGAGTAATGATTTTTCTTTTATATAACAAATTTTGGCAGAGCACTGAATTACAGTAGCTTAAAATATGATCATCAAACTTAAAGCAAAACAAAAGAAGCTGTCTTTCTGAGCACAAACTAAGAAAACATTTATAAAAATATTTTTTATTTTATTTAAAATTCAAGTCAAAAAAATGCGGAAAGTATTAAGTGTCCTCTCTAGATTCCCATCACAATTTCATGAATGCCATGTCATATTTATTCCCTAGGTTTTGTGCCGCGTCCTCTTACTTGCATAATTCGTTAGCTACACAAGTTTTCCTAATATTTCTTTTTCCGCTCTATAAACATATATATGTATAATACTTTCTTTTATTTTTATATTTATTTGTTTTGAGTTGTGTTGTTGTTTTTTTTTTTTGCATTATTTTGCTTTTAGCAGCGCAACAGCTCAAAACAACCTGCTGCTTCGCCATTGAATCCTTAACCCTAACCCTCAATTGAATGAATAATCATGTTGCCCGCTGGGATGCCAATCAGATGAGGACAATAAACAACAACAA